AAAACCCAGGTGTGTACATCATGTTCTCCTGCCCGCTGGAATAATCACACTTGGATGGTGTTCGGCTCGCCTAACATGTACAATTTTCTTCTTGTACCCACTTGAATGTTTCAAATTTTTTTGCAAAAGTATAAGGGTTTTTTTATGGGAGTTTTAACAAAACACTCATGGTACTGTTCACTTTTAACAAAAAATCATATTTTTACCTTTCCTGGTACTATTCACTTACACATTTATTTGTCATTTTTCATTAAAACTAAAGTTTTTTAGAACTTTTCGTTAGTTTTTTTTTTTTTTTATTGGCACCATAATCAGGAGGGAGCCAGCATAGGGTCATTGGTTATCCTTGACCTCAACAACTTCAAAATCTCATTTATATTTGTTTGTGTATTGTATTTGACCCTTGTAAACAGCTAAAACAAACTAAATTACATCATCCTCCTACTTCTTTTATTTTCATCTATCATATTCGTTTCCTTTTAACATATGTTGACACCTGGAAGGTGACAAAGCCATAAAGTGTAGTGATGTGAAAAATATGAATAAATTAAAACCTAAAAGTGACTACTTTAGAGTGCGCATGTGAGCGAGATTGAACCCATATTGCACAAGTGATGTCAGAGCATAAATAAATTGCAGTAAAAGAAGAGTACAAACATTTATACCGAAAGGAGAAGTCTCCTACATGACAGCTTTTACCAGCAATCCTTGTCATCACGAAACTTCTGCCCACTAAAATCCTGGAGGGGCGAAAAACAGGGGTGAGTGGGCCTGGAAATAAAGTTTTGTAAAACATTTTCGAAAAGTGTAACCTCTCGCTGTAAAATAAGTATATGGTTTCCTAAAAATATTATAATAATAGTATGTAGTAGGTACCCTGTAGCAGAAGTGAGTCAAAGATGTAGGGTACAATAACAAGGTATCTCAAGATTAAATCTCATACCATTTTTATAAGAAATCAATGCTCATTAATTTATCTAGGCACACAAGTCTATTGCAAAGATATTCAAACAATGGTAGGCAGATGCCTACTAGGAGTTTGACGAACTGGACCAATAAAGCTTTTTGGTCGCTATTATGATCTTATTATTTGAAAATCCTGACTATGCTGCCACTTACCATAATATTAAATACCCCTGAAAAAAATGTAAAATATTAAACGGCTATTTAGGGCCCATATGATTATTTTTAAAAATATATATTTTCTGAATGCACCCAAAATTTACTGTGATAAAATTACCTTATATTCCTATTACATTGAACAATCCCAAACCTTGTATAGGGTTTCCATGGGACAACTTAACCCGTTTGAGAATCTTATTAATCAAATCATATGAGCGAAAAATCCCTTTTGATTTCAAGACGCTTGCTTCTTTTTAGAACGGATCGAGAAACTGATAATGCAATAAACTTATGAAGTAGGGTAATTGAAAAACAAGAAAATGTAAAGTTCTATTTTTTACATTTATACATAGCAAGAGATTACATTGAACTAAACTCAAATTGTTATATATTTAGTTGGAGGTCGGGGAACAAAGAAAACGAGTTTGTGGGACGAACACACAATTATTTTTTAATTTTTTTAAACAACATAGAGTTTGATGTGGGGTGGAGATTGGAGAGTTTGGAGTGTGAGGGTAGTATTGGAAAATAATCGAGGTATCTTAAGGTAAATTGTAATTTAAAAGTATATGTAGGGTGTATTAAGTAAGTAAAGTGTAGCCAACAGTATGTAAGGTGTGAATAAAACAACCTAAAATATGATATTCTTTCTTTATTAAAAAAATTAGATTAACAAAAATTTTATTTTTACATTTCCACTACGCATCCAATACTTCAATAAAATGAAACTAAAGGGAATTAAAGTTCCACATAAAATCAATTGTCAATATGTAGAATAGTCTAACTCCTTATAAGGATATACAAGGTTCATAATTCTCCGATGGAGATTCATACTTTCAACATGACCCCTCACGTGAGGCATCATTTAAGTCTAACACGTGGACATTACAAATTATGTAACGTGAGAGCACATGGGCCGTGGGCTCAACACATGTATAAACTTGCTTTAATACTATAAAAAAAGTTGAAGTTCCACTATATAACCAAATGACAATATGGTGAATATGACCAAGCTTCTTATAAGCACGTACAAGGTCCCTTGATTCTTTAAGGGGACTTTTCTATCTTTTTCATAAACAACTAGGAATTATAGTTTGCAAACTTTTTTTTGTTTTTTTTAATAGGATTATTTAATGGCTTAAAACATGCTTTAGTTTGCAAACTTTTCTTAGTGAGTTGTAATTGTAGCATTTCATGTTAAATGAAAATCAGATTAAGGCATTTCATGTTATTAGAAAATTGATTAAGAGCTAAATATTTGATCTTACTAGTTTAATTTTCTACTCTGCCATTGAATAAGAATACCACGTATGCATGCGATTACAATAATAAGTTACTCATCTTTTAGTTGAAATGTCATTTCATAAGAGGATTTGCTACCCAACTATTGGGGGTAGGGCATGCCCTACTAACCTGAGGACGTAGGGCTCTATATTAACCCGAGAGCTTAAGGCATGTTTAATTTGATCTCAACATGAGATGACAATGAATCACTCATCCACTTGAGTCAACCATTATACAACAAATTAGTTTAATGCCTCTTTAGTTACAAGTCCACGCTACTAAGCTTCTCGTTTTAGTTGAAAGGTTAATTATACCAAAACCAAAAAATACAACTCCCTTTTTGCAGCAAATCAAGGCCATTCATCGTACTTATATCCTACCATAGTTGTTTTAACGTTCACCTAGCTAGCAGGCAGAGAAGGAATATTCCTTCCCAAAACCAATACTCAAAGCCACTACCAAACCAATATCCAAAACCCAAAATAATTTAATCAGAAATCCCTAATTCTGATTTACTGCTTAAAAATTTCCGTCTCCGTCCTTCAGGTCATCTCCAACCGAAGGGTCCAGAGGGCTAGAGGACCAAAAATAGTCCAAAAACCATCTCCAACCGAGGGCTAGGCCAGAGGGCTTGTGGGCCCCAAGGAATCTGAAAGGGCTAAATGGCCAAAGGGCTGGCCGCATGCAGCCAGCCAGCCAGCCCAGGGCTAGCCATAAATTCCAGCAATCATGTCGGATATAACCGATAGGAATGCTTAAACAAAAATTTGATTCCAATGGCTAGCTAACGCCAGTTATCGTTGGATTCAATTTTTTTTTTTTTTTTTTGGTTTTTTGGGCCAATTTTTTTTTTTTAATTCTTAAAAATTCTAATTTTTTTCCTCTTTCAAAATTCTAATTCTCATATTTTCTTTCCTCTTTCAAAAATCTATCCTTCAATTTTTTCAATAATTTTCAAATGGCCTCGTCTGCAATGAAAGGTAGGGCTTGAACCCGAAAAGAAGATGAAGCTCTTTGCAAGGCTTATAGATGGGTGTCGGAAGATAGTGTGAGGGAGAATTATCAAACAAATGAAGGTGTTTGGACTCGTGTGTCCAAAAAATACTTAGAGTTCTATGAAGGCACCACTCGACTGAATATCCAAAACTACGAGAGTTGTTCTTCAAGATGGAAGAAACATCTTCAGCCAAGTTTGAACAAATGGCATCAAGCATTGTTAGCAGCCGCAAGTAAACATGAAAATGGCGCTAATTACTACGACGAAGTAAGTGTTTTCACAATTTATTTTAAATATTTAATTATATTAAATTTAATTTCATAAATTAATTTTCTTTAATTTTTGTAATTATATTTTCTATGTAAGCCAAGTGGAAGAATTGTATATAGATAGCAGCTCGAAACCCTTTCAGTTTCACAGTTGTTGGGAAATTTGTAAAGGGTGGATGTTATTTGAAGATCCACCTCAACATAAAGCTCCTATGCCGGTGTTCGGAACTGCATCCTCAGCTGTAGATATGGATGAAGATGGATCTCCTACCATTCAACAAACAAGGGTAGAAAATCCATCTTCGGGTGAAGGTTCCATACCTAGGGCTATGGGACGAAACAAGGCACGAAGGTTGAAGGAAAAGGGTAAGGCAAATGATGATTACGCCGCCCAACATGAAGTGGTGGCCTCATTGCGATTAATGGCGGAGCAAAATGCCCTTGAGGCGGAAGAAAGGAAGTGTAGGCATGAAGAACGGGCCAAACAAATACAAGAAGATATGAATGATAAGAATATGGAAATGAACACTTCGAATTACACTCCAATGAGTAAGGCCTATTTTGATAGGAAAAAAAAAAGAAATTATGACTCGGTGGCAATTGTTTACCTCTGACTATGCTCCTACAATGGCGGATGATGAAGATGATGTTGATTATGAATATTAAATTTAAGTTGTTGTTGTTTTTAAATTTAAGTTAATGTTGTTTTTAAATTTAATTTGTAGTTTTTAAATTTAATTTGTCGTTTTTAAATTTAAGTTGTAGTTTTTAAATATAAGTTGTAGTTTTTAAATATAAGTTGTAATTTTTAAATTTAAATAATAAATTATGTTTGGCTCTATGATCCTTTGACCCTCGGTTGGAAACAGTTTTTTGTGACAGTGCTAAAACAAGCCCTATGACCCTTTAGCCCTCAGTTGGAGATGAATGCAAATATGGTCATGTATTGTTCATTAAAATATTAATATCTTGGAGAGCCAAATGGCTAAAACGAGCCATCTGGCCAACTCTCGGTTAGAGATGGCCTCATATGTCAGCAAGCACCACCTCCAAATAATACATAAAATAGAAAGGAAAAGAAAAAAATCAAAACAAAGAGGGAATCGTTGTAATATTTAAGTTTCTTATGTTGTCTTAAGACAAAATTTACCGTCCAATTATGGCTACATTCTCTAAACCTTGTGAACTCTAAATCTTTAGTATTAAATGGAATTTACCAACATTTAAAATTACATTCTTAAACAACCCGATTCGACGACAGTGCATTTAATTGCAACCAACCCTTTTTTATTGAGTCACAATCGTTTACTCCCCCACTCTTCTGACTTCAATTAAACCACAAGGGACAAACGAAGCACAGCAGCCCAGAAGCTTGACAAATAATTAATTATCCTTTTAAGGTTTCCAACCGCCAACCTGCCACCCCATCCAAAAGCCTTATAAATACCAACGAGGGGAAGTCCCCTTTGAGTCTCTCACTGCATTCCATAATTCCATTCTGCACAATCCAAAATCTACAAGCTTATTAGGATCTCAGAGTCTCAAAGAGTTCATATTTTCTAGCTAGCAGAGGCATGGCTTTGGTGGTTAGAGTCTTGGCTTTAGTGGTGGCGGTGATGGCTGTTTTGGAGATGTCCAGTGCAGCTGTGTACAAGGTCGGTGACTCTGCCGGGTGGACCACCATCGGCAATGTCGACTACAAACAATGGTCTGCCACTAAGAATTTCCAACTTGGTGATGTTATCAGTGAGTTGTTCTCTCCAAGTTTTCTCTTGGTTAATTTCTCTCTTCAGCATATTGTCCTTTTAAAAAAAATTCTGCTTTTGTAGGTTTTAATTTTAAGATATCATTTCTGCACACTCATTTCTTCATCTGTAACATATTTATTATTATTATTATTATTATTTCGGTAAACAACAAGGGATTCTTAATTTTTCTTTAATTTATTCAATTCAAAAGCTAAAACTAAATAGGTGTATGCATGAAGAAAAAACGCGAATACGAAAACCTTTTTTTTCTTTAAATTTTTCGTAAGTCTCTTGTTAATGAATACTCATATTCTTAAGTGTCACCAAATATACTATAATGTTCAAACTTCTCTGGATCTTAGGCAAATAGTTATATACAACATTTTGAAAAGGTGAATTTGGTGATTAATTCGAAATGTTCTCCATGAATCATGATGACTATGGTGGCCATTCTTTGTTCGGAAAAGGTGAAAAGGGTAAGGGGGATGCATCTCTTTCTAACGCACGCGTGGTCTCTGATGCATTAGATCTAACTTCAAACCACCCCCACTACCTATATGTATCTTACATTCTACTTTATTATGATTTTGATTTTTTATCCTGTGTATTTTCATTAGATATTTAATTATTTGTCCACTATGGATGTTTGGTATTAGAATTCATCTGTCAGTCCGATCGATTGCGATGGTTTTATGAGAAGATGAAACGCTTTAATTATTGTCCACTATGGATGTTTGGCATTAGAATCGATCCGTCAATGTGATCGATTGGGATGGTTTTGTGAAAGATGAAACGTTGGTTTGAGAAGTGCTTTTAAATGATAGAAAATACTTTTTGAGAAAATATTTTTGGATTCTATGAGTACTTGAAGTGTTTCTTGTTATGTGCTTCTTGAGAAAGAAAAAAAAAACACATCAAATAGAACTCATAATAAAGACTTTAACATCATCGAGGAGCGATCCTCTGTTATTGTATGTTTTCATTGAAGAAAGTTAAGGTTTTGTTATAAAATCAATTGACAATACGGTAAGTAGTCCAATCTATTATAAGTCATTGCAAGGTTTCTCCTTTCACCGATGTGACTCTTTTACCTTCAAATCTTCAACATCATTGAGTCCCGTGTCTGTCTAATCATGTGCATTGGTTTTTTATTCCATGTCGTCATTGCTGTTGCAAATTACCCATTAATTACAAAAATTAGTAAGAAGAAAAGTTTAGCTTCTTGATCCATTTAAAACTTGTAATTTGAATGTCTCGTTTTATGTGGGATCAATCAGAATTCGAATACAACTCTCAATTCCACAACGTGATTCGCGTCACGCACGCCATGTACCAGTCATGCAACGCCTCAGTGCCCTTGGACTCCTACTCCACTGGAAACGACTCAATCACAATCACCACCAAAGGCCACCACTTCTACATGTGCGGGGTCCCCGGTCACTGCAAGGCCGGCCAGAAGGTCGACATAAACGTCATTCGCCATCCTTCGTCGGCTGCTCCAACCCCTTCCGCGTTGGCCTCTCCAATAGTTCCTGCTCCGCATGCACCAGTGCCAGGTCCAAGCTCGGCTGCTCCGTTACAATCTCTGGTGGGACATTTTGCTTTGCTGGGATTAACACTTGCAGCACTCGCACTTCTTGTTTCTGGTCTTGCTTAGTCACTCTAGTTTATTGGTTCTATATATATGGGCAGTAATTTGGGTCTCTTTACGGACTTTTTTGAGGTGGGCTAGTAGTAATTTTCGTGCTTGATATACAGACATTACATATACAGGTTACTCAACCTTCAAATAAATTTCTGATATCATCAAACTGTTGAAGATTTGCATAAACATTCATCAAATTTTTTGGAAAGATCAATTATACAACTGGCTTTCTGTTAATCATCTTTTTTCGGATGGTATATTAGTTCACAGTTATTTTTTTAACAATAAAAAGCTGTTAATAAACTTACCGCATCACTCCGTAACTAAATGAGGTTACGTGGGTGAGTTCTTAAGGTGAGGTTAAAAATCCAAAAAAATCCCGATTCATGACCCAGTCCAAGAATTCAAGTTTAGGTTCTGAGTCCTGAATCTAGGGTTCCAAGTCAGGGGTACCAATTCCCAAATCTCGACTCAAACTTTTTTAGAACAAAGGATAATATCTACACTAAAAGGGAGAGGGTGGGTTTAGTCTCACAATAGGCTAGTAATAATGTGGTTCAAATTCGCCTTTGGCAAAAATCAAACCTAAGACATCTCACTTACAAGTAAAAAGGGATACTACTTGATCGTAGTACTAAGTGGCAAATCTCGACTAACTTGGATTGCAAGTAATTGCAAGAATGGAATGGGCACTCCAACATTTTAATTTGGTCCATTATTTTTGGGAGAATGGACCCATTCTTATGTCTAAACCACACAATGTAAAGGTGTTAGAAGGCTATTAACCTTTGTTTTTTGTTTTGTTTGGTCCATGTGTAATAGTTGGTAGGAAGTTAGCTTGATCTTTAGGCCTGCAACAGTTTATATATTGTGCCCTTGTGCAGAGCAGAGGAACGCTGAAGATATTGATTTGTATTCTGATTCTCGCGTAATAGCAATTATATGGTAAACTAAAACACATTCCGTTCCACTCTATTCGTGCCAACTGAAATATCATTCAAAAGTCGCACATGCAAATAAGCTGTCGCGTCTACAAGGACGCATCACAAACACTAAAAGATGAGAAATTCTTTTCACTAAAACTCATCTGTAACAAAACTAATGTTGATGAATTTATCTCACCATATCGTTTTTTTCGAAAACACTAAAATCAGTACAAGTAACCCGTCATATATTCAGTGTCCCAGACTTAACCTCTATGTCTGCGTTGATCTGCCGTGAGTTATCATCCAGATAAACATGTTACAAAATTCAGATGCGTGTGGTCCGTTTACCCCTCCGTTGCGAGGGGAAACAATTGATGAACTATAAAGTCCTAGATCCAAGGTAAACTTAGAGAGAGAATTAAGATTTTAGGTTCAAAGAATGGAGGAAGCAGTAAAAGAATCAAGTCTTCTAGGATGATCGGACCTTACTATCAGCCGGACACATGCTGTTAGACCAGAAGACTAGTGAGAAGTGGGCGCTCCATATCTCCATTCCGTCCAACCTCTCTCCTATCTCGATGTCGAGTTCTGCCACCAGAGAATTATGAAGAGGATTAAAAAGTTGTCAATAGATAAGGTAAAATGCACGTTCGGGCAAGAGACTTGTATTCACATCACAGGTGCTAAATTTGGTAAGTATTAGTAACAAAGTTGTTTAGAACGAGAACAAGCAACAAAGTATTGCACTAGAGAAAGGATCTTTCTGAGCTGTTTGAAACAAAAAAGAATAACACGTTTTGACATGTAAAGCTCAGAAATCACCCATATAAACGCTAAATAAGACAGACAGCCTCACTGCCAATCAAATGCATTCAGAAGACCATATGTAACAGTTACAACATGAACTGAAAAATGACTATCCTCGTTATGGTTTAATGAACATACAAACTCATCAGTAAGTTTACAATCCGGATGATTTGCCAACCGCATCCTAGAATTGGATGGAATATATCAAACTAAATCACTACAAATATGACTCAATCCAAGTTAAAAACAGACAAAGGAACAAATAACCATATATTTAAAGGGCTAAGCACATTTGAGAAACAAGTATTCAGCTAGTCAGTGCATTAAGCACACTCCACCCATTGATAAGCAACTGTGGAAGTGTTCATTGGCTTACTTTCTATCCAATCTATGCGAAAGCAAGTGCTGTACGGTCAAAACCTCTAGCAAAAGAGGCCGTCAGTGAAATGGAAATATGTAGAAAATGAATCATCTCACTGACATAAGCCTCAAGGAAAAGATAATCACATTTGAACCAGAAAAATGTAATTCATGCATAATCCATGGCCTAAAATCTAAATATCGTAAGTGTGTAACCCCAGTATAGGATCAAACATATTCAATGTGATGTGTAGTCTCCCACATTAACAAATTTCTTTATTTATCTGGTCTGCACAACACATATTTCTCAAGCATATACATCTATGTATCATTGTATTCTAGGTGCCAAACAAAAACCTAGGACTTGAAGCAGTCATTTGGAGCTCAATCAGTTCACTTTCTGGAAGGCATGATAGATGTGTGAGAAATTTGAATCTCACAAACTTGATCACTCGTATAGAGCTTCTCCCTTGGATGTACACTGGTGTCTTTCTAATAAAAATTGGTAGCTACCCAGACACCAAAAAAGGAGAAAAAGAAAGGCGACATTGGCAACATGATCACTTTATACATCGCATCCAAACTAAGACCATACATGCCTGGCCTATCAAAATGAGGATTGACAAATGCACACATCTAACTGTTTTGATAGATTTCACATGAGTAAAGCATCATAGAGACCTTACACTAGTCAATTGGAGCTCCATCGATGCTGAATCCTCATTCTCCTGCAAGAAAAACATCAGAAATCAATAATTGCGGTCTAGTATTGGTAGAATGCATTAAGAGGATGGATGACAATACCCCGAGTAATAAATCCTTCCTGGTAATCAAGCCAATCACACAAGATGGACGAGGAGTAACAAATATATGTCTTAAACCTAGTTGACGGAAAAGATATATACCTGCATCATCATCAAGAACAATATAAACTTGATAAAGTAAGAACAACATTCCATGAAAGAAAAGTGTTGAAAGAATGGCAGCGAAACTCTCACCTTTGGCAAAGACATATCTTCAGGGACAATGTAAGGAGATGGGTTCAAAAAGGGCGCAAGATCTATGTACATTTCCAAGTCATCTGAACTCAGATGTATATCACTTATCAATAAGCCTTTACTGGAAGCAGGTTTTACGAATTCACTGATAGTGTGCCTGGAATACAAAGGAACTGTCAAACATCTTATAGTAAAAGGGAAGGGCAAGACTACAAACCAACTCCAAGCTTCTACTTGGCTGATAGACCTGGCTCCTCTTGGATCACAGGGTAGAGGACTATGCTGGAAATCCACTTTGGACTGCAGAAGTACCAACAAGTGACTGCATCACAATCCAAATACTCACGTTAATGTTTTCAAACACTTACATTCTTTGCTTAAAACAAAGAAATCATGTTTAAATGTACAAATTAGTTATATCACCTGCGAAGCATTAGTCCAATTACAAGTGTTTCTCCACTTCTTGCATGATCAATCACCTGGAAGGAATATAACATGCAACACACACTTATATATCAAGCAAAAAAGAAAGAGAGAGAGAGAGAGAGAGAGAGAGAAGGAGAGAGGTTAACAGAAGAAAAAACATAAGTGAAGCATACAGGGAAGCCATTATGATTGTTGCTCCGCAAAATAGAAACCAAATCTGCAACCTTAACAACACGAGGGAAGGAAATCACCTACACAGAAAGAAAATTGAGCAGTCAGCGTAGTACTAAAATGAATAAAAGTAAAAGAACAAAGAAGTTGGTGCATTGTGAAATCACTGAAGCACAGGGCACTAGAACCACGTATAATCAAAATGGAAAGTGCAATCCCTGCCAAAAAAAGGCGTTTGATACCAGAAATAGTGCCGTTTGATGTTATTGGGGAATGGGCATCCCCTTTCAAGTAATAATAGAAGGTCTCCTTCAACTTTTTTTCTTTTCTGCCTTCGTTTGGATGTTTCCTCTTTTGGGTGAGAAGTGAGAACTGAACAAAAGGCTCCCTAACTTCCAATTCAGTCACCTATTGTGATATGAAGCATAGCCCCTTTTTCCAAAGGATCCTGACAAACCAATTTGGACATAACCTTTGGAGTTTAAGGAGGCTCATACATGAGATAGGCATCTTAGAAATTACATGGATCAGGGTATGGAAGTTCTGGACAAGTGAACATCTCGACACATTTGAGCATATGAGTCAATACTAATGTTTACATATAAGGGGTCAGTCGTGCAAAATATCTAATGTCCATGTCAGCATCAAACACATGCCCTTGTCTATAATCATTATTAAGAGAGGTGAAGATAATAGTGACATTCACCCTTTTTCCAGAGGCCTCCTTTGCAGGCATCTTCCTCATTTGGTACTTGGGTCTTGATTCCAGTAATGGAATGCTCTTTAATCGCACCTGTTCTTCGTACAGGCCTTCGTTGAAAGCATCACCAACAGCCTGCTAAGGTAAAAGGTGTAAGTATTTCTCCGCATCTATTGTTATTGTAAAAGTTTCAGAAGTGTACCTTTGAAATAAGAAGAACAAGCATGATAAGAGGCAAAAGTTTCAAATTATTTGTGATTTCAACCATAATGACACAAAGAGACACTGTCATCCGCATTGAACCTCCAAGAAAAGAAGCTGCTCCCAGTAGTGCATATCTGCAGAACCAGTAAGCATGAGAGCAAAGTTCATGAATACATTACATGCATTTAAAAAAAAAAAAACATTTAGTTCTAATCCTCAGTTAATAAATATAAACGAGACTAACGTTCCCTCTTCGATGCTGAGCTTCTTGTAAAAGTTAACCACAAACATGCCCACAAGACGCCCATATGTAGATCCTATCATTATCCCAGGAACAAATTGACCAGCTGGAACGGCAGTACCAAATGTCACAACCGCTAATGAATAAAACATCACCTGGAATGCATTAGGAAAGAAATTACACAAATAATCCACAAGGGACTAACGAGGAAAAGAAAAACTAACTTCTTTCTGAGAACACTCATGGTCAAATTACATTTTTATTGAAAAGAATCAATGTTGGCCAAGCCCTTAAATTCCAAGCCCCTTATTTTAGAGATTAGATTCATTTTCC